CCCCCCCCCTTAGCTTTTGGGTTTCCACCCTGAAAGCTGACCAGGGAGCAGTGAAAACAGAAGCAAGGAAACCCCGCTTCCAAGTGGGGGCGCTGCCTGACTCTCTTCCCTGTGTAGGCTTCCTGCCGTTGGCTCTGCGCTGATGCTGAAAGTTTCTTGTCATTTCTCTGGGTTTATTCAAGAGGTAGTTCCCTTCCCCCCAATGAACTACCCAGAGAAAAGCTAAGTTACCAGGAAGTACCCCAAGACCAGAACCAGTTTCTTGGTAGCAAAACTAAAAAAGAAACCAAAAACAATCTTTGATACACTGGCCCCGATCCAAGCTGTTCTGCCCGGGTTTGGTGCACTGCACTAGGGCAGGGATGAGCTAATGCTTTAAAAATGGGAGGTGTGGAGGTGGGATGCTTGCAGGCTGACCTCCCTGCCTCACAGCTCCCCGCTGGCGTCCAGCAGGGGGCTCTCCGGTTCCCGAGTGGCAGCCTTCCTCGTGTCCAGTCTGGGTGGAGGGCTGCCCATTGCCTCCCTGAAGGAACCGCCCGGCAGTTCTCCACTCCCCTTGACCCATATGACCCACCAATCTCATCACTGTAGCTCATTCAAGAGTCTCAAGCCAGCCCACCAGCTTCCTCTTCCAGAACCTTCCTGGCTTTTTCTCCTTGTGGCCTGGTGCCATGTTGCCGGGCGAAGGGCACGGCATGCCTGGCGCTGCCCTCTGGAAGGAACCCCCCGCCACGGCCTTCCCTTTCCTTTCTCTTCACCCACAGGTGTCTCTTTTTGCCTTTCCCCCCTAAAGCCCTGGGGATTGGCACAGTCTTCTGGGTGAGGAGTTCAAAGGTGTTTCTATGGCAACTCCAGGCCCTGCACCCCAGTAAGTGTTTAGGAGAAGAGTAAACTACATGCTGGCTTATAAAACACACTGTGGGGGAAAGAAAGGACTTGGCAGCAGCCGTGATGTCTGTGGTCCCCTCCCCACCAGTCATGCCCTTGAAACTCCTGACAAAACCTTGACTCTGAAGGAGGGGAGGGAGGGGGCTGGGAATGAAGAAGGCGGGCGGGCTTGGCCGGGTAGATTCTGCTCCAGCAGCTCTGTCCAGCTCAGGAAGGGGTGGGCAGTGTGTGTGTGTGTGTGTGTGTGTGTGTGTGTGTGTGTAGGGGGCAGTGTTTCTGTGGGGGTGGGGGGCAGCAGAGAGAATTTTGCTTCACAACTCCGAGCCCTTTTTTTGCTCCCTTGCCCCCTGCATAGAGGAAAAGGGGCTGTGAGATGGGGTGTTGGGGGCCTGCCCCCTGAGCCTGTTGGGAGTTGGAGAGGAAGGCTCCGCTTGGGCTCCCACTGCCGTCCTGGAGGGTGGCCCCTGAATATCTCGGCATTGTTTGGGCAGGGACCAGTGCCAGCGGATTCTTTCTGTATCAGATCTGAGGTTGTGGTTTTAGCAAAGAAGCCATTTTCAGAGAAGCCGGATCCATCCCCTCTCACGATCACACACAATGACACTCCACACTGGGCTTTGTGACTTAAGAGAAAAAAAAAAAGGATCAGACTTCAGAAAGGAGCCAGCCACCTGGGGAGGGGACCCAGGCTGTCCAACATCTTGGAAACCTTGGAAAGAGGAAAGCTGCTCTGCTTAGGACCAGGGAAGGGACAGCTCTCAGACAGCAACCAGAAGAGTAGGTGTTCTGCCCATTGCAGCTGGAAAACACTGAGGCTGAGAGGGGTTGTGCTCGCTCAAGGTCGCCCAGCTAATCAACACTGTAGCTCGCTGTAGCTAAATAAGGCGAAATGCATTGTTGGTTATGCTATTTTCTTCAATAACTTTTCAACTTTCATTTACCCTTGACATTCTAAATCAGGGCACCCCTCCTGGGACCAAGATGGAATGGACGGTTAACATTAGAAGACTTTACTTACTGATTTGAGAAGTTTTAAAAAATATGAAGATAACCAAATGGCCAGAGGTTATTATTATTTAATATAATAATATAAATGGAGAAAATGTCTGACCTTTGGATATTAGAACTGGAAAAGACCCTCAGAATCACCAAGTCAAAGTGAAAAAAAATGACTCTTGGTCTCACTGAGGCACTGGGAGCACTAGAGCTCTAGAGACAAGACATCTCAGGCTTCACTACTTCCCTTCTAGGGGCTGCCCAGGACGACATGTGCAGTTTGTGCAGGTGGCCAGTGTAGGGGATGCAAAACCAGAGAGAGACAGGAGGCTGGGTCCCGGCTGGCTGGAGAAGGCGCCCCTCCCACCGTAGTGCAGATAAAGCTAGAAAAGTGGCCCCGGAAGTGGCCGGGTGGAGGGACCTTTGTGTGTTTTGCAGGAACAGCAGGAACCATTCAGTCCCACTGCTGAAGGGCACATTCCAGCAGGTTTGCCGATGAAAAACAACAACACAATTCTCCACTGCGTTTGGTTTTCCCCATTCCAGCCAGTATGGACAAGGGGGCCCCTTCTTCTAGCCTTTGTCACAGTCAACTCCTGGGTGGCCTGGAGAGGCAGAGGGGCTGGCGGCAAGGCCCGGGGCGGGCAGGGCTGGGCGGATCCCCCAGGCCTGCTGGCTGCGCTTAGGCTTGGTCGCGGGCGGCTGTCAACCTCACTTTCGTCATTTATGGGAGGGGACTAATTTTTATCCATGTCTAAAACTTACAAGTGTTATGTGAACATATTCCATGCCCATGTGCATATGTGTGTGCGTGTGACCTAAAATGCGATAAAGGTAAAGTCCTTTTTGATGGCTTCCTCTAACTCTAGCTCCTTCCCCAGACCCTTTCTTCCCTGTGCATTTACAGACAGAGGTACGTGTAGAAAGTTCAGGGTAGCTCTTCCCCTTGGAAGCATGGATAGGGGAACACTATGAACAGGAAAATGCCACACAGAGCGTCCTGCTGTTTCCCCCTGAACAGTGCGTTAGAGGCTGGTCTCAGGAACACACAGGGACCTACTTCATTCTTGTAAGGTATGGTATCCCCTAGAGTTGTAATTTTTAAAAACCGATTGTGGAGCAGTTACTCTGTCATGCATCAACTGCTTTAAT